CTCCTTCATGGAAGACAGGAATTTTACTACAGAACCACCACCACCAACACCTCGATTCTGCTATTAACATGGTAGTGTAGTGGGTTACTCATTTGGCTGCTAACTGTAAGGTCAGAAGTTCAAAACCACCAGCTGCTTTGCAGGAGAGGAGAATTTCTGCTCCCATTAAAAGTTAGTCTCAGGAGAAAAAAAAAGTTGGTCTCAGAAACACAAAGGGGGCAGTTCTATTCTGTCCTATAGGGTTGCTAAGGCTCTAAATTGACTTGATTGCAGTGAGTTGATTTATCCATGTTATTCCTGTATATATCTCCATTAATAAAAATTTAAAATATAATTGAAAATATAGACATCAATATTTTCCAGTAATTTGTACATATTTAAAGAGTTCAACTTTTAGTATTTTTATTTCTAAATATTTTTCACAAAATGAAGTGTACAAACTTAAATGTACATTGTTTTATGGTCTACCATAAAAGAAAAATTTGAAACAGCTTCTCAGTGAAATTGTTAGGTTCCTATGGTGGTTTACTTTGGTTCTTGCATCATGACGCTGAAAGAATTCATGCAGCGTAAGCATTTTTGTAAATCCAAGTAATTTTATGAGGGAATGGGAAAGTTTCAAGTGTTACAGTCACAGAAAGTACACACTATCCCTGGAAAGTGTGCAAGGCTGCATGGCAGGTTATGGGAAAGTTCGAGAAATGGCCATTTCAGGGAAGTGTGGAAAAACATGTGGAAGGAATACTGGTACAGGTGTGTGGAACCTACATTTGGAGCTAAGAGCAGGAAATCCCAAGAGACTGCCTGGAGAGAGGTCAAGCCCAGAGAGGGCACTGGGTGGTGTGCACCACACCCTCTAAGAGAGAAGAGAGCTGGCCACCTGGAGCCTGCTTTTATCACTGCCTCTCCCCACTGGCTCGGGAGGCTTGTTTGAAGGTATTGCTCAACCTTATTGCCTGTGTTTAGGTGCACCTGTGTGATGTCATACCGCTAGTGCCTAGTCTGTGTGGACCTCCCACCTGGGCCTAGGTGACTTGGGTCTGAGCATGCTCAGTTCTGGATTTTCCCATAGGTGTCTAATTAGTGTGCCTGATTTCTTTCCAATCCCTTTATTGTGGCATGAACAGCTAATTTTCCTTTAGCGCAGGCATTAGGGGGAGACGACCCCTTTGCCCTTACAGCTACCTTTCAAAATGTTTCAGACATTCAGCTGTAATTGTATAAAAGTATTACAAAGCAGCACTCCTAGAAAGATCCAAGAGTACTACTTCTTTAATACTAACAATTTTTCATTTAATATTATCTCATTTTAGTATTGGGATTTTTTTATGTGTTATATTAGTATGAATTCATTTTGTCTTTTTCTATACCTCTTTTCACCATGTACTTATTGGTCATATATTATAGACCATGATATAAACAGGGATTTGATTGCTTTCTAGTATTTCATGCTAGGTGTATATCTCAGACTAGATTAGGTTAGTAATAGATATCATTTTATTGAATATTTATACTCAAGGCTTGTGATCAATACTTTAATTACATTATTTAACTTAATCCTTACAGTAGCTTAAGAGACAGATACTGGGCAGCCCCAATCCCAGCTACGTGGACCTGAATGAAGTACAGAGGACAGCACAGAAGCTACAGCTACAGCTCAGGAAGGAGGGGATCAGAACCCATGAGCTAACTAAGAGGGAAGGAGAAAGAGAGAGTGGAACACAACCTGGCCCACCAAGGGCTGAGGATGATACTTCTGCTCAGAGCAGCCAATGCAGAGAGGACCATAGGGCCAGTCTCACCATCATACATGGCATCCCTTCACTGACCCATAGTGCTATGGGGGACAACACTGGAGACACAGTGTGGGAATTGTGCCCCATGTGACCCCTATACTGGGGTGAAACATGAAGGATGTGCAACAGAGTAGCAAGGGGAGCAAAGCAATGAAGTCCCCCAAGGAATTCAAATATAAATTTCGGGAGCAGACTCGACTGGAAAATACTCATAAAGGTCAACAGACAGACCTGGAACTATTTATAGACTTTTCTTTTCTTTCATGTCTATCTAGATAAGATAAGCAGGTTAAGCAATCCGGAGGAGAAAACAATTGGGACCTATGGGGGGGGACATGGAGAAGGGGAGTAGGGGAGGGGGGGGGCACCAACAAACCCAGGCACAAGAGAACAAGTGATCTAAAATCAATGGTGAGGAGGGTGTAGGATGCCTGGTGGGGCTTGATCAAGTGCAGTGTAGCTGAGAGGAAGTACAGAGAGCCAAATGAAGGTCGAACATGATAGTGGGACAAGAGGAAAGTAAAAGAAAATAGAGGAAAAAACTAGGAGGCAAAGGACATTTGGAGAGTCTAAATTCAGGCACATATGTAAATATATTTATATGTAACGATGGGGACGTAGTTCTGTATACATAAATGTTAAATAATAAGGTAGCAGACAGACATTGAGCCTGTAGTCAAATACTCCCTCAACGCAAGAACACTTTGTTTTAATAACCTGGCATTCTGTGATGCTCACCTTCCTGACACGAGCGCTGAAGACAACATGGGTGCATAAGCAAATGTGGTGAAGAAAGCTGATGGCGTGGGGCTATCAAGAGATAGCTTCTGAGGTCTTAAGGGCTTGAAGATAAACAAGCGGCCATCTAGTTGAGAAGCAACAAAGTCCACATGGGAGAAGCATACCAGCCTGTGTGATCAGGAGGTGTTGATGGGATCAGGTGTCAGGCATCAAAAACCCAGAACAACAACAAAAAAAATCATATCTTTGTGAATGAGGGGGTAAGTGGAGTGGAGACCCAAAGCCCATCTGTAGACAATTGTACGTCCCCTTACAGAAAGGTCAGAAGGAAGGGACAAGCCAGGTACAGTATAGCACCGATGGAACATACAACATTCCTTTAGTTCTGTAATGCTTCCTCCCCCCTCCATCATGAGCACAATTTTACCTTACAAATCTGGCTAGACCAGTGCATGTATACTGGTACAGATAAGGTCTCTCAATCCAGGACAGATAAACACCTCAGGAACAATAATGGGAGTAGCAATACCATGAGTACCATGAGAGTCGGGGAAAAAGAGGTAACTGATCACAATGATTGGCGTATTGAACACCCCCCCCATGGGGGTTGAACAACAAACATGAGTAAAGGGAGACAGCGGTTAGTGTAAAATATGAAAATAATAAAAACTTGTTCTTTGAGGAAGACGCGGCCGTTGTCCCACCATGCTCCCATTCCTGACTCACAGCTGTTTGCTCTCATTGAGGAACAAGTCGGTCAGGAAGCGCCCCCCCCCCCACCATGGCATTTAAGGACATTTGTCTCATTGATTTGCACAGTCCTTCTGAGATAGTTAAGCAGATCACTTCCATCAGTATTGAGCATGGGAGTAGAGGTTGAAGTCACCATTGCAGATGCTTAAGTCAACTATTTTAGTAAATTGATTTATCTGTTGGTAAAAAAAGAAGAAAATAATAACATAAATTATTATCAAGAGTTCATGAGGAAGGGAGGATGGAGGGGTGAGGGAAAAAATGAACTGATACCATGGGCTCAAGTAGAAAGAAAATGTTTAGAAAATAATGATGGCAACATATGTACAAATGTGCTTGCCACAGTAATGTATGGATTGTTATAAGAGCTATAAGAGCTCCCAACAAAATGATGAAAAAACAAAAAAGAGATAGATACTACATTAATTCTAAAAATTAGTCACCTAAGGCATGGAAAGATTTTCACTTACATAAGGGTATTTGCTTCCTGAATCAGTGTAGTATGAATCCTTAACTCACATTAAAACCTGATTCATATTGATTGGAAGCAGGAACAGTACCTTCCATTACATGGTAGATAATTAGCACTAGTCATATTGCTTTACAGGATAATCTTGGTCAGAACCAAATGTTTGTGTTTATAATAATTTATAAACTTCTTGTTAGGTGCCATCAAGTCAGTTTTGACTCACAGCAAACCTATGTACAACAGAACAAAATACTGCACAGTCCTGTGCCATCCTCACAGTTGGTCTTAAGTTTGAGCCCATCAATGCAGCCACTGTGTGAATTGATCTTGTTAAGGAGCTTCCTGAACTTTTTTGCTAGCCTGTTGCTTTACCAAGCACGTTGACCTTCTCCAAGGGCTGGTTTCTCCTGCAGCATGTCCAGAATACATGATACGAAGTCTTATTTGGCAGTACTTCTTCCAAGACGGATTTGTTTGTGCTTTTGGCAGTTGTTTCGGTATTCTTCACCAGCACCATACTTTAAATACATCAATTCTTTGGTCTTCCTTGTTCAAAGTCCAACTTTCACATGTTTATGAGGCAATTGAAAATAACATGGCGGGAGCGGGAAAAATGAGCTGATACCAAGGGCTCAAGTAGAAAATGTTTTGAAAATGATGATGGAAACATATGTACAAATGTGCTTGACACATGGATGGGTGTATGGCTTGTTATAAGAACTGGAAGAGCCCCCAGTAAAATTTAAAAATAAATATGAAAAAGAAAATAACATGGCTTGGGTCAGGCACACCTTAGTCCTCAAAGTAACATCCTTAATTGGATTTTAAGCAATTTAGCAAATGCCAAAAGATGAAATCCATTTGACTTGCTATTTATTGTAAATCTTGAAAATAGATGTCTTGCCTTTATCTCATGCTAAGAATTCTGCCAGAAAAAGTGCCACTGGTTAATGGTAGCCATTGTGACCGTTGAAATAAGTTTCTTAGTTCCATCTGTTGTGCTAACTCTTCTCTAAGGTCAAGTGACGGGATAAAGTCATGTATGTCATTAAACATTTTCTCCTAGTGCAGAAGTATATAAGGTATTTCAAATGTATTCTTTCATTTAGATTCCCTTTAACTGTTTTCTTTTTGGTAGTAAAATTTTATAACTGGCATCAAATCCTAAATAACATGAAGTAGGTGGCAAACAATTCATTTGTGTTAAAAAATCTAATGGTGTGTTTTATTTTTATGTGTAGGTCTTGCTAATTTGGAAGCTACAAGAAATAAGTAAACAAGAGGAAGACAGACTTGGTCTTTCAAGTGGACATGGCTCAGATTTCCAGTAACAACAGATTTAAAAAATGTTCGTCTTCACATCTGGAACAAACAAGAACAAAAGATGTGAACAAAGAAGAAGCATTACAGATGGAAGCAGAGGCTTTAGCAAAGTTACAAAAGGATAGACGAGTGACTGATAACCAGAGAGACTCTGAGTTGTCAAGCAGCACCAGGCAGAAAACACAAGTTCATAGCAAACAGGATTATGATCTAATGGTGTTTCCTGAGTTGGATTCGCAAAAAAGAGCTTTGGATATTGACGTAGAAAACCTCACCCAAGCTGAACTTGAGAAGTTACTATTGGATGACAGTTTTGAAACTAAAAAAACACCTGTATTGCCAGTTACTCCTGTTCTGAGCCCTACATTATCAGCACAGTTCTACTTTAGACCCACGCTTCAGAGAGGACAGTGGGCACCTGGATTATCTGGGTCTTCCACTTATTCCTTGCCTTCTCTCTATCCCTCAGCTTACAGTAAACAAGCTTCATTCCAGAATGGTTTCAGTACAAGAATGCCTACTTTTCCACCTACAGAACCCATATATTTAAGTCTTCCAGGACCATCTCCACATCTTTCATACTCGATGACACCTGCAGCAGCCTTTCATCCACAAGGAAGCTTGCCCATCTATCGTCCAGTAGTTAGTCCTGACATGGCACAGCTATTTGACAAAATAGCTAGTACATCAGAGTTTTTAAAAAATGGAAAAGCAAGGACTGATATGGAATTAACGAATTCAAAGGCTACAGTCAGCAATCTACAGCTTTCTCCAAAGTCTGGTGATATCAGTAAATTTGACTGGTTAGACTTGGATCCTCTAAGTAAACCCAAAGTGGACAATGTGGAGGTATTGGACCATGTAGAAGAGAAAGATGTTCCAGGCTTGTTAGCAGAGGATCCTTGGGATGCTGTTCTTCTTGAAGAGAGATCACTAGCAACTTGTCACCTTGAAAGAAAGGTGAATGGAAAATCCCTTTCTGGGGCGACTGTCATAAGAAGCCAGTCTTTAAATATTCGAACAACACAGCTTGCAAAAATCCAGGGCCAAATATCTCAGGTATAGTCTTTTCTATTAAATTCTTAACCTCAGAAATGTAGACAGAGCTCTTATGTGTGTGTAATTTATTAGGAAAAATATTGTTCATTTTGAATCTTGTTTTCTTTGCTTCCATGTGTGCTGTGATTCTTAGATTATCTGGTGAGCTTAAATGTTTACCCAGTTAAAAAATTGCTTGCTATTATTTCGCTCCATGTCTCCTCATTGCGCATGGTCCCTTCTTTATTTTTCTTAATTTTTTTCCCTTCTTTATTTTTAAATGTTTTTATTTTTCAGGGAAAATTGGAATTTTCAATTTAGCTCCATTGTAGAAATTTTTATTATTTTTAATCATGGAAAAAATAATCCAAGAATGAAGGAAGACAAGTCATTCAAAGGACTTTCCTTAACCATATTGGTAAAAGATAGGAATAGTATAATGCGTTTCATGTTGCACTTTCTCTTCTATTTGTTTTATAAATTAGTGGGCCCTGAAAATGATTAAGCCTAATTTTCACCTTAGTGTGAATTACATTATTCAGCCAGTTAGATCAATAGCTAACTAATATTTTGGCCTTGGGAGTTTCTAGATAAAAATCAACACTAATCCAATCTCCCGGATATGGAGATGAATGATTTCCTCTTGACCCATGTAGCACTTTCCGTGCAAAGCTTGGTTGGATCTCTCAGAACAAAAGGAGACTTTATTTCAGACTGTCAAATAGGCAGACACCAGCGACACCAGTAACCTTACTTCTGACCTGCTACCTGTAAGTTCAGTTTCCCCACTCCCTCTCAATGCCATGTGCGCGCTTCCTGCCTCCCGTTCACCTGTTCTTACTGCTCCTTGGGTTTGATAATTTGCTGAAAGGCCCACAGAGCTCACAGAAAGTATTATACGTACAATCACAGATTTATTGTAGGGAAAAAGGACACAGGCAGACAGTGAGGTTGAGACAGTTTCCAGTGCAAACCTTACGAGAGGACATTACCAGAAATGGTTATTAGCAAGATAAATGGACGCAGTGCCTGCAACAACGGGCTCAACATAACACTTGTGAGACTGGCATGGGGCTGGGAAGTGTTTTGTTCTGTTGTACACGAGGATCACTATGAGTCCCAACTGTCTCAGGTTAACATGAAAAACCCTCCCACGTGTATCAGTGTGTTTCACCAACCAGGAAGTTCATAGAGCTTACATGTCTAAAGCATCTGTTGGCTTTGTTACTTGTTCATGATAGGATCTCATTGCATAAACATGTTTGAATCACCCTTTCTTTCCTGAGGTCAGCTGATATCAGGCCCCAAGGTGTTTAACTAGTTTGGCTAGCCCCTTCCTCATTAGAACAAGTCCTCAGGTGTAATAAACAGTTCTAGATAGCAAAAGATACCACACTCAGGAATTTCTAAAGATTATCTCTCAAAAACATAGGAAAAAAGTTAAATTGCCTTCCATAAAGTGATTATCTCACAGGAGATAAGCATTTAGGGAAAGAAAATAAATTTTATATGATTGTGATAGGTATATGTTGAATTGGTGACTTAAAAAAATTCATCTTGATATAACCTCTGGGATCTTAAAGGCTTGAAGGCAAACAAGCAGCCATCTAGCTCGGAAGCAACAAAGCCCACAGAGAAGAAGCACACAAGCCTGTGTGATCACGAGATGTCGAAGGGATCAGGTAGCAGACACCAAAGAACAAAAACCATCATTGGGTGATCACCTTCCCCACATAAACGCTGAAGACGAATGTGTGCATAAGTAAGTGTGATGAAGAAGGCTGATGGTGCCCGGCTATCGAGACGTAGAGCATCTGGGGACTTAAAGGCTTGAAAGTAAACATGCGGCCATCTAACCCAGAAGCAACAAAGCCCACATGGAAGCAGCACACCAACATGTGTGATCATGAAGGGCCGAAGTGACCAGGCTTCAAGCACCAAAGGCGGGGGTGGGGTGGGGTAGGAATTCATATCATGAATGAGGGTAGTGCGTGATAGAGACCCAATGCCCATCTGTAGACAACTGGACATCCCTTGCAGAGGGGTAGTGGGGAGGAGATGAGTCACTCAGGGTTCAGTGTAGCAATAATGAAACTCACAACCTTCCTCTAGTTCTTAAACGCTTCCTCCCCCCAACTCTCATGACCCCAATTCTACCTTGCAAACCTGGTTAGACCAGAGGATGCACAGTGGTACAGATGGAACTGGAAACAGGGAATCTAGGACAGGGACTCTAGGAATCTAGGGAATCTAGGACAGATGAACCCCTCAGGACCAGTGGTGAGAGTGGCAATACCGGGAGGGAAAGGGGGTTAGAAAGGGGGAATCGATCACAAGGATCTACATATAACCTCTTCTCTGGGCAATGGGCAACAGAAGGGTGGGTGAATGGAGACGCAGGGCAGTGTAAGATAAGATATAATAATAATTTATAAATTATTAAGGGTTCATGAGGGAGAGGGGAGCGGGGAGGGAGGGGGACGGGAAAAAGGAAAATGAGCTGATTCCAGGAACCCAAACAGAAAGTGAATTTTGAGAATGATGAAGGCAACGAATGTATAAGTGTGCTTTACACAATTGATGTATGTATGGATTGTGATAAGAGTTGTATGAGCCCCAATAAAATGATTAAAATAAAAAAGCGTAAATGTTTAGAAAATGGTGATGGCAACATATGTACAAATATGCTTGAGACAATTGATGTATGGAATGTTACAAATGATTTAAAAATAAATAAGTCCATATGGAAGAAAAAAAATTCATCTAGGATGAGAAGGAAGCAGGTGTTAAAGAAGATGTAGGAAAATAAACCTTTCTTGAGGAAAAGTATTCAAAAGGGTATTTAAGGAGATAAGACCAGAATCCAAGAAATCGTAACATGTAGTTTGTTTTCAAATATATTTTACATCAACCCACATTAAGAAATTCAGTTGGCTCTTCAACACAATTTGAACAAATATGTGGATTTTTTTGAATGCTGTTTGACACTAATCTTGAGTGAGCAGTTTGTCTAGTAGGACATATAAATCACAGTAATAAGTGATCTCTCACAGTTCTTGTATATTTTTCACTGTTTAGTATAATTCTGTAATCCTTGAATAACATCATGGGACCCAGAACACAGTATAACTAGCAATTCTGGAACTGCTTCCAAGAAGCCCAGAAAAGATGTTAGTGCTATTGAATCAGTTTGACTGATAGTTGTGAGTCTTTGTGAAACAAAACGAAACACAGCTTGGACCTGTGCATTCCTCACAATCGTTAGGTCTGAGCCCATTTTTACAGCCACTGTGTCCGTCCATCTTGTACGGGGTCTTTGTCTTTTTTGCTAATAATACTTTGCTAAGGATGATGATGTACTGTTTCAGGGACTAGTCTTTTCTTAATAATATCCATGATGTGAATTCTCACTATCCTTACTTTAAAAAAAAATCATTTTATTGGGGGCTTATACAGCTCTTATCACAATCCATCTATACATCTATTGTGTCAAGCACATTTGTACATTTGTTGCCATCATCATTCTCAAAACATTTGCTCTCCACTTAAGCCCTTGGCATCAGCTCCTCATTTTCCCTCCTCCTTCCCTGGTCGCCCTCCCTCATGAACCCTTGATCATTTATAAATTATTATTTTGTCATATCTTACACTGTCCGACGTCTCCCTTCACCCACTTTTCCGTTGTCCGTCCCCCAGGGAGGAGGTTATATGTAGATCCCTGTAATCGGTTCTCCCTTTCCACCCCACCCTCCTGTTATTACCACTCACCAGTGTACCTGAAGGGATTATCCGTCCTGGATTCCCTGTGTTTTCAGTTCCTATCTGTTCCAGTGTACATCTTATGGTATAGCCAGATTTGTAAGGTAGACTTGGGATCATGATAGTGGGTGTGGAGGAAGCATTTAGGAACTAGAGGAAAGTTGTATGTTTCTTTGTTGCTACACTGCACCCTGACTAGCTCTTCTCCTCCCCACGACCCTTTCATAAGGGGATGTCCAGTTGTCTACAGATGGGCTTTGGGTCCCTACTCCGCACTTCCCCTCATTCACAATGGTAGGATTTTTTGTTCTTTGATGCCTGATCCCTGATCCCTTTGACACCTCGTGATCACACAGGCTGGTGTGCTTCTTCCCTGTGGGCTTTGTTGCTTCTCAGCTAGATGGCTGCTTGTTTACCTTCAAGCCTTTAAGACCCCAGACACTATATCTTTTGATAGCAGGCCACCATCAGCTTTCTTCACCACATTTGCTTATGCATCCATTTGTCTTCAGCAATCGTATTACGGAGGAGCGCACACAATGATATGATTTTTTTGTTCTTTGATGCCTGATAACTGATCTCTTCACCTGGTAATCACACAGGCTGGTGTGCTTCTTTCATGTGGGCTTTGTTGCTTCTCAGCTAGGTGGCCACTTGTTTAGGTACTTTCTTTTTATGTTTGACTCTGAATTTACAGTCCCACACACTTGTTGGAGAACCTGGGTAGTTAAGAGTGACCAAACAATTCATGTGCTAATTTCAAGATAATCTACCTAATACCAGACCATTTTCATCGGACTGAAAAGAATCCCCATACATAGCAGTAGCTCTCCATTCCCTTCTTCCAGGCCTTGACAACCTATATACAGATATGACTTTTCTGAGTATTTCATGTAAATAGAATCTTATAATATGTGGTCTTTTGCATGGTATTGAAATGTAGCATGAATCAGTACTTCATTGTTTTTGATGGCCAAATAATATTCCATTGTATAGTTATATAATATTTTGTCAGTCAATTCATCTGCTGATTAGTTGTTTCCACTTTTATACTATTAGTAATAAAGCTGTTATGAGTAACTGAGTTTAAAAAATGGGTTAAAGATCTAGCTGAACAGACTAGTAGACAGCTAGAACATGAAAAGATGTTCAACATCAACAGTTATTTAGAAAATCAAAATCAAAACCAACTGTGTTAGTCTGGGTAGACTAGAGAAACAAAGCCATAGACACACATGTGTATAAGAAAGAGATTTATATAC